AATTCTACAAATGTCACTCATTTTTCAGAATTTTTCATCTGAAAATCTGTTGATTTTTTTACATGAGTAAAAATATATGTGCATCACCATCCTAAATTTGTAGCTTATTCTTCCCTGTACTTCATTTTTCAGTACCTTTTCTTCCTATGTAAGACTTTCTTCTTTTATAGTTAAGTGTTTCAGTAATTGATACAACTCTGATAAACGTCAGTTCCTCTGTGCAGAGTATGATGCATTTATTCAGTGATTATCAATAATGATACTCATAGTCTTAAAACATTCACATGTAACAATTCTGCAGGGAATTTTATTTCTGTCATATATTTTCATTCTTTCCTATCATCTATCAACATTTTAATTGGGGAATATAGTGACCATGACATTTTTAGAAATTGAAAGTAATTCAATACTAAAGTGATCCATCTTTTATTACATTTTATGTCTTCTTTTAACGTTAAAATAGTTTCATTTCTATTAGATTTCTCCTCTTTCCTCATGAACATTTAAATAATTTTAAGACAGTTAACTCATATTTTTTACAACATATAACTTAGACAAAAACATTTTACTCTTAAGAACTTTTTCCCTAAGATTCTATATATCCTCTCCCTTTACCAGGATATTGGATAATAGTTAAAATAGTCTCATGTTCTGGTGAATTACAGAACCTTACAAATGTTCATTCCATATTTCTATAAATAAAGCTGAGAAGAAATAGTAATCCTATCTGATCAATGATTTCTGAAGTTTATAATTTTTAAAAAAGTCTATATTTGTAAAAGGTAAAAAAGAAGGATAAAGCTGTCATTTGCTCATCCTACATAATCCTTTTTGACAGTACACTGTATTAATAATTGAAGTAAATCACTTGGTAAGTAAACTTTCCTCATACATACAATATGTAAAACTCAGCTGTATTAATGAGGCTTGCTACATTACTCCTTTCAAGAATATTCAGTAATTCTGGGTTTTGGTCAAATTCCTCTCTTTCTCCACATTTCTGTAAAACAACTTAAAGCAGAGATATGAATTTTAGTAATGTTATTAAGTGGATTTATATCTGATCAAAAAGATTTCTTAGTGACTATTTGAATTTGGATGACATGTCTGTGTACGATCATGAGAGTTAATTTGGAAATAGCTAATATTTATTTATCCCTAACTAAAGACCAGGCACACTTATATTTTTGTTTTTCCTGTATTAATTCATTTAATCCTCATTCACACTAAATGTGAGTAAATATTACATTTTACTGATAACTGAAGAAAAGTTTAGATAACTTGTTCACACACCTAGCAAACAGGATTTAGGAAATTCTTATTTTAAGTGACAGAAACTATCAAGACACCAGCAGGCTTGGTCAAGCTATACTGGTGTCTTGGCAGAAGGGAAATGGATACTAGGTCTCTGGCCTCCTGGTTAACATTTCAGCTCATGAACTCATGCTATTCTTGTATTTTCAAAAACAAGACTAATGTTCAATAATTATAATAATGTTCAAATAATAAGCATAATGTTCAAAGGAGAAAGTAGTAACATTGGGCAAATATGAAAAGAAAAATCAAGAAACTAGAATTTGATCTGAGTCTTTGAGGACAGGCAAGTTTCCACATAGCAAAGATTGGAAGGTGTCTGTAAGAGGGTCAGCATGGACAACAGATGACAGTGGAAAGCTGAAGAGACCCAAGAAGCACAGAGAAGGAACCTAGTGACATGGGAGGAATGTGTTAAAACAGCACAGGTAAAAGAAACTCAAATAAAAAATGAGGCTGTTCTTGTAAATTTAAAGTTGATAAACCTTAAGAATATTTTTTTTGAGGAAAATAAATTCAGGGCAAGGGAAATATGGAAAAGTCCTCTATTTTTTTTTTCTTTGTGTTAGTAAAAGTGGCTCCTAGGTGTGTTCCATTTTGTGATCTCCAGTAGCTGTGCAGTGAGCTCACCAGAAGCTGCCTGGGATACACTAATGTGATCCAGCGAGCCCAGTGCTCTCTCTGAGACAGTAAACTAAAATCCATGCAGGGGTGGACTAGATCAATGTCTGCCAGAGGACACAGCTCAAAAGTCAAGCTCGATTCTCTCAGCATCTCCTCAGGAGGATGGACTTCCATTTAGGAGCTTTCCTGAACTCGGTGAACTCTTACACATGTTTTACCATCCTTCATCAAGCCAATACCAGCTGCAGAGAGGCCATAAAATATGGGAGAGCCAATCATACATTCGAAATCAGACAAATGCCCTAAAATACACACATGAGTGCAACCTCTCAGGGCTAAAGCCATAGGGCCTTCAGATGTAGTGTTAACCAAAACTGTCCACAAAACTCCAGCCAATGACCTGTTTTCCAAGCAGATCCTTCCTAACCCCTGCCTTCTTGTTCATCCTGCTCATTTTCTATAGTGACACGATTGTCTTTAAAAAAATTCTGGGCAGGACTGGGGATGTGGCTCAAGCAGTAACGCACTCGCCTGGCATGCGCAGGGCCCTGGGTTCGATCCTCAGCACCACATAAAAATAAAATAAAGATGTTGTGTCCACCAAAAACTGAAAAATAAATATTAAAAAATTCTCTTTCTCTCTTTAGAAAAAATTCTGGGCAATATGGATTAACAGAAAAAGAAAAATATATTCAGAAATAGCAACTTTTAGCATTTTAGTCTTCTTCTCTACATATGTGTATGGGTATAAACACACACATATATATATGTTCTACATAATTTGGATAATACTATACATATTGTTTCATTAGCTAAATTTTCTTTTTTTAATATTTATTTTTTTTTAGTTACAGGTGGACCCAATATCTTTATTTTTATATGTTGCTGGTAATCAAACCCAGTGCCTCATGCCTCATGGTAGGCAAGCACTCTACCTCTGGGCCATAACCCCAGCCCTCGTTAGCTAATTTTTCATTAATTAACATAGCATAAGCATTTTCCACATCATTATGTCTTTTCACCTTATTTTTAATGGCTAAAGTCTATTCTGGAAGTAGCATGACTTATTTAAACAAAACTCCATGGCAGAGACATTAAAGTCGATTTCAATTTTGTTCTATTATGTATAACAATATGTAAAATATCCTTGTGTGTAAATCTTTGTACATGTCCATGATTGCCTTTTTCCCAATTGATGAGGACCAACAACAATATATATGAGAGAGCTGACTTCCTCCCATCCCAGCAAAAACTCAACTCTGAGGTGATCATCTTTTTCATCTTTGCTAACTTTATAGATAACAAAGCATGCTTTAGATTACATTTTTATTGTTGGAAAGACTAAACTTTTTTTTCATGTTTATTAGGCATTGCATTACTTCTTTTGCACGTCCTGTTGAGTCACTTGCAGATGACCCAGAGTCTGACTGACCAGAGCCCTGGCCTCAGGACAAGTAGGGTCTGGGAATGCCTCTACACCTTTAGCATTTATTTCCAGGGCAGGTTTCTTCTTTAGTTGGGTTCACACTTCCAGCTAAATAGTGACAGTGCCACTGGATTCCAACTCACAGGGCACAGCCAGAAAGCAAAGAGAGAAGGAGCGAGATTAACTGGACTCTGTTTATAACAATCAGAATTGCAAAATTTAAATACTAGAAACACATTAATCAGAAAGATTTCAAGTTTTATTCATTTTGTAATAGCATCAATGTTATGGTTTGGATGTGAGGTGTCCCCCCAAAAGCTCACATGTGAGACAATGGGTTCAGAGGGGAAGTGTTTGGATTGTGAGAGCCTTAGCCCAATCAGTGAATTAATCCCTGATGGGCTTAATTGACTGGTGACCAGAGGCAGGTGGGGAGTGACTCCATTTTGGAGGCGTGGCTTTGGGGTGTATATTTGTATCTGGGCTGTGGAACCTCTCACTGCTTCCTGGTCATCACATGAGCAGCTTCCCTCTGCCACACTCTTTCCCCCATGATGTTCATACTCACTTTGAGCCCCGAGGAATGGAGCCAGCTGTCTATGGACTGAGACCTCTGAAACCGTGAGCCCCCCAATAAACTTTTCCTCCTCTAAAATTGTTCTGGACAGGTCTTTTAGTCACAGCAGCAAAAAAAAAAAAAAATTGACTAAAACAACAAGCCAGTATGTCCCTAAACAGCATGAAAAACTGCATGCTTCTCACTAAAAAGAGCTGTGATCCATTAAGCACTTACTGTGTACAAAGCACAGTATCTGGAACTTTTGCTTATACTCATTTTCTTAACACTGGCAAAATTTAAGGAATATTATCACTCTAAGTGTTAAAAATCAATATCAAGTATCCAAGACTAATAAGTAGCAGAATTGGGGTTCAAATCTCTGCCTCTGGTCACAACTCTAAGTATCTTTTTACCAAAGAATTGATCTATAATTATATAGCTTGAGTGTCCCTTATCTGAAATGTTTGGACCAGAAGTGTTTCCAATGTTTGAATTTTGGAATATTTTATATTCATAATGAAGTATCTTGGGGATGAGACTCAAATCTGAACAGGAAATTCATTTATATCTCATATGCACCTCACCTACCCAGAACATAATTCTAGACAAGATTTTTAATACCTTTTGCACGTGAAAGTTTCATGTTGAGGAAATTCCATGTATTATCACATCAAAAAGTATCAGATTTTGGAGCATTTCAGATTCTGGATTTTCAGATTAGATATGCTTGACTTATCATAGAAAAACCCAGAGTTTTAGCTACAGCTTTGTTGGGCCAATTCATCACAGTAATGATGATGCTACTCTACTGATTTCTTGGAAGCTTTTCTTTCTCATCTGTTTCCTTTTGTTGCCATAATATCCCTGGGAACAAACCCCACCCTTTTGGAAGATTCCTCCAATGCAGCACTAACTCTCTAAGAAATCTCCAGCTCTCAAAACTATAAGCAGTTCTCAAACTAAGTTGGAATTTAGTGCAGGAGTGACTATGGTTAATGATTCACAGAATTAAATAGATTCAAAAATACAACCACTCCTGGAACTTAGACCATGACCACAGAGACATTTCCTATTCACATCCTCAGACACTGAATGCTGCTTGTCATCCACTTCTGGCTTTTCTACAAAAGCCGTATTGGTAAACCATCCCAAACATCTCTGATGCTCTGAGGTAAGTCTCCAAGAGGGTCTGTGAGCCTTGAGCAGAACAATAAATGCATACTTAGGAGAAGCTTGACACCAAACAGAAGAGGTAGATATTCAGGGTCTCTTCTCTCCACCCACAGTCTGGTACATGGACCACCCAACCAGGAGTTCCCAGGCTTCCTCCTCCAGCCCACTCCTCCTGCAAGGGGAAGATAAAACCAAAGTTTTTATCTGTTTCCCCATCACTTAGCAGAGCAGCAAATACAAAGAAGTTCAATAAACATTTGCTAAATAAATATGTCAGGAGAGGCAAGAGAAAGCTGTTAGTAACAGGAAGGTGTTACATAACATAAAAAAGTATTATCAGCCATACACATTTTTGACTGCTGATAGGCACGGGGTGTCACCTCCAAGGCAGTGTTGTCGATTTAAAACAGGAGCTGCTCAAGCTTGGGAATCAGGGCTGAAGGAAAGAAGAAGAAGAAAAGTAGCCAGAATCCTACAAAAAGTTCTAGAATCTCACTGTACCTTACCCTTTCTCTTTTATCTTCAAACTGCTTTCTCTGAAAGTCCCTTGCCTTAGCATGCCCTGGGGTAAGATGCCAAAGGAATAAACTGTTCAAGCCCAGCCCTGTCCCAGAGGCTCAGTCTAGTGGAGAAGATAATGCTGTCCCTTCCTGGTTCAGCACCGCTAGGGCCCAGGGATTATGACTTCCTCAGCTTTGCATTATGACCCAGTCTTACTGCAGAAATCTGTGTTCATTATATGCTCCATCATTAGAGTGGTCTGCCATTGCAGAGAAGGAGTGGTGGCTGGGACTAAGCTCCCCTGCTGTCTGCAGAAACTTGGAAGCAAGGTACCAAAGTCAGAAATCCATGCCTTGACTTCTCTACACAGATTTCATAGTTTACATTTGTAAAAATTTTTGTTCATGTGTAGCCCACATACAATCCAGCCATTCAAAGTGTACAGTTCAAAGGGTTTTAGTCTATTTGTTAAATTGTGCATCCACCACAAAACCTAACATATTTTCATCACCTCAAGAAGAAACCCTGAACTCACTAGCAGTCATCACCATTCCCTCCTACCCTCTCATCCTCAGTCCTAGGCAAACAAAATTCTAATCTACACATGCATTAAAATAATCTCCATTCTACAAAATGCCTTTCCTGGACATTTCACCTACATGGAATCATTCACACGGTAGTCTTTTGTGACCGGTTTCTTTGATTTAAGGCGATGTTTTCAAGGTTCATCCAGGTCCTAACAAGTACTTACATCTTTTATCGCCAAGTACAATTCTGTTGTATGGACATTTCACATTTTGTCTACTCTGATTAGTTTCTGCCTTGGGGCTATTATGAAGAATGGTGCTATGAATTTTCATATGTATGTTTTTGTGAAGGCTTACAATTTCATTTCTCATGGGTATTTCTGTTGGAATGGAATTGCTGAGCAATACGGCAACTCTGTGCTTAAACTTTGAGAGATTGTCAAAGTGTTTTCCAAAGTGGCTACACCATTTTTGATTCCCACCAACAGTATATGTGAGCTCCAATTTCTCCACATCCTGCCAAGTACTCATTATTATCTTTAGCCATCCCAGTTGGCAGGAAGTGGTATCTCATTGTAGTTTTGATCTCATTGTTCTGATGGCTAATGATATTGAGTCTTTTCATGTGCTTGTTGTCCTTTTATCGATCTTCTTTGGAGAAATGTCTAATCAGATTTTTACACATCTTTCTACTGATTATTTATGTTGTTGCTACTATTGAGTTGAAAAAATTTTTGTATGTTCTGAATGCAAGTTCTTATCAGATGTATTATTTGCAAATATCTTCTTATATTCTGTGGGTTTTTCCTTTGAACTTTGTTATTACCTATTGAAGTACAGAAGCTTTTAGTATTGATGAAACCCAGCGCCTATTTTCCTTCTGTTTCTTACACTTACTTCTCAACCATCATTAAATCAAGATATAGTTTTTGCTGTATATCTGAAAAGACTAGCATAATCCAAGGTCACAAAGATTTATTCCTATGCTTTCTATTAGGAGTTTATAATTTTAGTTCTTACATTTAGGTCTATGATCCACTTTGAATTCATTTTTGTGTATGTTGCAAGAGATCTAACTTCATTCTTTCAAAGAATTTCATTCTTTCAGTTGTTCTGATACCACTATTTTTTTTAATTCTACTATTTAATGTTAGTTTATGTGCTCAACTCTATATTCTTTTTTTTTTTAATGTCTAGATCCCAATGTCAGTACCAACACTGGTTGGTTATTGTAGCTTTGTAGTGAACTCTGAAGCTGGGAAGTGTGAGTCCTCTAAATTTGCTCTTTATTCAGAATTATTTTCACTTTTCTGTGTGGCTTGCACTATCCCATGAATTTTAGGACAACCTTGCTAATTTCTGTAAAAAAAAAAAATTAAAAAATGAAAAACTAAAAATTTTGTTTTGGATTGTGTAGATCATTTGGGGTAACCACCCTTTTAATATATTAAATCTTCCAATATGTGAAAATGGAATGTCATTTCCATTTATTTAGATCTAATATTATCCATTTCAACAATTTTGATTGTTCATTGCTAGTGTATAGAAATACCACTGATTTTTCTGTATTGATCTTATATTCTGAAACCTTGCTTATTTATTAGTTCTAAAGTCATGGCTATTTTTCTGTTTTGTTTTGTTTTCTTGGTTGCTTAGAGTTTTCTAATTGCAACATCATGTCATGTACAAACACAAATAATTTTGCTTTCTTTCTTATCTGAGTGCCTTTCATGTCTTTTTTTTTTTTTTTTTTTTTTTTTGCCTAACCACTCTGCTTATCGTAGCACATGCCTGTAATCCCAGCAATGCTGCGGGAGGCTGAGGCAGGAGGATTGAGTTCAAAGTCAGCCTCAGCCGCAGCAAGGCACTAAGCAAAAGTGCTTTCTTATTTTATCTTATTGATATGATGATACAGGTTTTGTCCTTTATTGATTGATATGGTTTATCATACTAATTCATTTTTGGTAAACTAATCTTTCTTTCCTGGAATAAATCTCACTTGGTGTAATATTACTGAATTCTAATTCTCAGTATTTCATAGAGGATTTTTAAGTTTGTATCCATAAAAGATAGCATTTTGTTTATTTGTTGTGATGTCTTTATCTGGTTTGGGTCCAAGAGTAATACTGCCCTCATGACATACAATAGGATATATTCCTTACTCTTCTTTTTAATTTATTTTTTTGTAAGACTTTGTGAAGACTTGATATTAACTTGTTGGCAAATATTCGGTGATATTTCATTTAATAACTTTGTCTATTTTTATATTAAAACATGCTACTCAGGGAGTGTGTCCAATGAGGAAATGAAAATCCACCGTTTCATTTTATAACTCTGAAATAAATCTCTGTGATCCATGATCCACACCAGTATTGTCAAATTTTGAGTTACTCACAGGAAAGACAAGGAAGTTCCCTAATTCTTCCTTAACAATTTTCCAAGATGAGAGAGAGAGAGAGGGAGAATGAATATTTATCTCCGTGGAAACCGAGTTTACCCCCAGCCCTTGGAGACCCCTCACCCTGAAATCCTGGATTCCAGGGCAGGTGCGCCAGCAGATGGGGGATCGTGATCGCGGTAGATGACAGGGGACGCCTGTGGCATCATCCCCGATGCCGTCAGAATCTGGAGAGGGCGGGGTTGGCCCGGGAGGGTCTCCTGGGGCGGGGCGGAGGAGGGAAGGCAAAACAGTCTGGTCTCTGGAACCCACAGAGCAACAACACCCCTTGCTATAAATTTGGAGCGGACTCTTCGCAGCTGATTAGAGAGCCTAACAGCTGGACCCCAGGCAGTAGTCAGTGACAAGACGCCTGGACGGGTACATAGCTGGCAGCTCTGCCCGGCAGTGGTGACGATCGATCAATGGCCATCGGCTGTCGCAGCGAGTGAAGGCGCACAGCCCGGACGCAGAGGCGGTGGGAGCCCCGCACCTTCGCAGCCAGCTCGCGTGGGACTTGGCGCAGCGCCCCGGACTGCGAGTGCCCCTGACCTCCTGGCCTGCTTGGGGACTGCAGGGGCGGGAGTGGTAAGTTTCATGTCACCCTGGGTTAATTCCGGATGCCGTGCTGGGAGGCTCCCAGAGACCCAGGAGAGCCACCACACTTCCCTTCCGCGCGCACCCCGGCGCCAGCTGCGGGTCCCCAGGTCAGGTGAGGGGCTTCTGACAAGGTCACAGCACGGGCTCATTTGCCTCGCGCTTTCATAAAGAATTTCATTTGGTTTTGACCTAGCTTTGGCGAGTACAGGCTAGAATTCAGCAGAAACGGGAAGCAACGGAGTCAACTTTCTTGGAGGCGTTTAGATTAGTCTTTAACTGAGAGCTGAGTGGCAGGCCTGCGTGACCCCGCGGGCGATCCTTTTGAAAGTTGTGCGCTGTTAAGGTAAAGTTAAGTGTTCTCTACCTAACCCTCTTCTTCCTAGGCAGTGTCCCCGCACCGCTCATCTGGCCTTCCCCCTGTCCCTGCAATCCCTACCATGGGTAAGTGTCCTCGGACACAGTCCCCACCGGTGCCAACCCGCTGGTGCTCTCAGGAGAGTCATCATCAAATAGGGAGCAAGGGAGCAGGGCTCCTCCACACCCCCAGAACCCTGACCTGTGCGCTTTTGTAACTAAGGCTGGATTTTAGTGAAAGACGGATTTCTGTGTCTAGGACCGAACAGGGCCTATTGCGCGGTCCTCTGCTCCACTTATCTAACACCCCGTTTTCCAATCCCAATGTCCACTTCTGCAGCCTTCTGTGGTCAGCCTGCTGTGGTCTTCAAGGAGCTCAACAAATCTAACCCAGAGTGTCTCTCTTGCATTTTCTTTGGGCAGCCTTTAGAGAGACCTGGCCATTGACTCTTCCCTGGGGGCCATCTCTTTACCTAATCTTTGTTCGCTAATGACCTCATTAAGTATCAAAACTCTACTTGCTTCTCAGTGTAAGTTTGGGTGCTTGCTTTCCCTTGGGGTCACTTTTGGAACTTGGCTACATTTATTTCCTGTGTCATTCTGGGAAGAGAGAGTAACAGGGAGGGAGGCGAGAAGCCCCACACCCTAGGGTTCTTGTTTATAAATGTTGAGCAACTTGTGTCTTCTTGAAGGTGCTTCCTCCCCTTAACAAGATTCTCTTGGCAATTACCACCAGAGGGGGTCTATGGCCCCAGGTGTTTATTTTAGCACAAGCTTTAACCCTTTTATGATCTTCTCTAAAACTGAAACCTCAGGATCTGGGAGTATAGCTCAGTGGTAGACTGCTTGCCTAGTATGTACCCTGCATTAAAAAAACAAATAACAACAACAAAAAAAAATAAAATAAAATAAAATAAAATAAAAATATATATATATATATATCTTATCTTCTGTAGTGTTTCCCTAGCTAAAATCCCCATGTAGATAATCCCCCCTTGGGCTGTGATGGATGCCTCTTGATATTGGCCTGGGACCCTCTTTCTCTCCACCACTCTTCCTGGCAGCAGTGCAGGACAGAGAAGCACAGGGAGAAGGGACTAGGAACTAGCTGTTCACTCACTGTTCTACTAGCTAAGTGCCATTTAACAAGTGTGATCATTAGGTCTCTGCCCATAAGTTCCCCTCCAGTGATAAAAGTTCTTGAGTCTTTTCGTTT